AGCATGTGGTTTTATGCTCTCTTGCCAGGATTTATGTTTTGATTTTTTTGGCACATTATTGTTTCTCTGCACAAGTGATATTACTTTTTATATAATGATGTGTTGCAGTTACCTGGGTAGTGCAGTCATATAAAAATGAGAAAATATGTGAGATATGGAGGGTACCCAGTGTGGCTCTAATCCTTCAGCTTCAGCATTTGGGGCATCAAAGCCAGGCAGTTGTTCTGATACGCACTAAACATTTTTGAAGCAAGTGACATCATTGGTGTGTATCCTTTGTCTTTTGTACAGTATTCACATGCTTTATATTATATTTACCTGTCCAGAATACATAAACCTTTCATGTTTTAGCCCTGGCTATAATATATTTATATATATAAAAAAAAATCTATAAACCACTATACATTTCCTTTAAACATACTGACGGGGAGAGAGCAAAAGAGAGATCTCACTGGATAGTAAAGGATCAACAGAAGACTAGTCACAGGCTGGTGGGAGAGAGGTATCATCACTTTACTTCACTGTAGCAGGGAATGTGGTGTGTGATGGAGATGTGTGAATAGATCCAAGGACTAAATTGACAGAAGTACATATACTAGGGCAGGCAAATAATATTTCTGTTATTATCTGCCATCTACACCAATTGTGATTGCACACATATCTAAATTACACTTAAATGTGAGTGTCCTGCAAAACATAAACTATGGGTGAGATTTGGGGACAGGTTTGCAAAACAATAGTCTAGGGGACATGTGTCTGCTTTATCATGTGTTTTAGGCTAGCTTTTTGTAATATTTCAGTAAGGTTTCCAATACAGTAATATTTTGCAGATAATTTACCATTCAGCCAGACCTAATGATAACAAGCTGTATGTTTGACTGTTTGTCCTTCACCTTATCCATCTATATTGTTCCTCATCCATGAGAGAAATGTGTACAAAACAGGAACTTAGATGCAGCAATGGTGTTTTCTTTTATTCTTTGTATGACAGTAAAAGTTACATAGTTAGTCTGGCTGAAAAAAAAAGACAAAAGTCCATCCAGTTCAACCATTAAAAAAAAAAAAAGTTATAATCTTATACCCACAGTTGATCCAGAGGAAGGAAAAAAAAACTCCCAGCAAAGCATGATCCAATTCGCTCCTGCAGGGGAAAAAAATTCCTTCCTGATCCCCCGAGAGGCAACCGGATATTCCCTGGATCAGCTTTACCTATAAATGTTAGTATCCAGTTATATTCTGTGTATCCAAGAAAGAATCCAGGCCTTTTTTAAAGCAATCCACTAAGCTGGCCAGAACCAACTCTTGAAGGAGTCTATTCAACATTTTCACAGCTCTTACTGTGAAGAAACCTTTCCATGTTTGGAGATTAAATTTCTTTTCCTCCAGACGTAAAGAGTGCCCCTATTGTCCTCTGTAATGACCTCAGGGTGAATAGCTCTACACCGAGTTCACTATATGAACCACTGATGTATTTATACATGTTGATCATATCCCCCGTAATCTCCTCTTCTCAAGAGAATACATTCAGTTCCTCTAATCTTTCCTCATAGCTGAGCTCCTCCATGCATAATAGATAGTATTATAGATGGTTTTGAATACAGAGACTAGATATTAAAGTGGATCTCCAGCCTAATATACCCTAAAAATATAAATACAGTTTGTGAACTGTTTTACCTACCAAAATATTTGTACTGCTGTCCAGTGAACCCTTGTAATTTACATTATTCCTTATGGTTACTTTGCATCTCTCTGTGTCACCTGCACCCATATTGAGCATCATTGCATTGTAGAGGTCCTCTCTGTGCTCGGTTCCACCCATATGCTGCCTAAACACCTCCAATCCAACTGTCAGAGCCTAAAAATGTGTTGCGCAGCATTTTTCAGTGTAGTAGAAGCTGGTTGGCTTACGGCGCTTAACCTCCGACTAACCTTGTATACCTGCTGTGTTTGTTGTAAGGGTCCTTTTCTTTAGTCTCATATTTCCCTTCCCCAGATTAATCTCTTACATCAAAAGTAGCTTCACCAAGCTCTCCAGGCTGAAAAAAAAACTGTACAGACATTTATAGGCACGTTCTGTGGCAGTGCATATTTATTTGTGGTGGCTGCATGTCATCCGGCTGTGATATGCAAATTCCAATAAATACTTTAAGGCTAAGTTCACCTTTTCAGGCAGAGTTTTACTTTCATAATAAATAGAAGCCTACTATAATGTCTTTTGTGACCAAGCCATCCAATTATGGTTGTCACTCACTTACCTCGTCCATGGCAGCTTTCAAGTTTTACCACTGTTTCAAATTAAAGAAAAAAAAAATTCTGCTTCCATTACTTCTTGTAGATCATGTGGCATTCCAGGAATCTTCATATCCCATCATGCACTGTTTTACTGTATCACTTTATAGGGTATGTTGTACGACTATGAACCATGCCTCATTACTATGCCACCGCTTGTTTTATTTCCAGCCACTTTTACTTCTTCCTTTAAGGTGTCCATACACTGTACAATCTGATTGTACAATGTCCCTTAGATGTGCCATCAGCAATATAGTGCAAGGGCACGTTTGATTTGAAAAAATTGAATGGATTGTTCAGGTGGGCCCACCTATTCCATAGTTTTTTTTTAATGTGAAGGAAATTGTACAGAGATTATGCAATCAGATTGCATAGTGTATGACCATCTTTATACAAGTACATAGGATGGGAGTGGACAAAGACACTCAGCTGTCAGGAATCTCCACGTACTGGGAACTCACGTTTCTGCATGTTTTTTTTGTGGCACAACAAATTCCCCAAAGAAGCTCCACAACTTTTTTTAGTGCAGTGTGGTGTGTTTTTTACCATGCTTTTTTATGCATTTTCAGCGTCCTTGTTTCATGGTTAAAGCACACTAGCTTCTCTTGTTTGTGGTGCTTTTAAAATTTAATGTCTGTGCAAGTGTGAGGCATGTATGCAGTATGCTTTTTGTGCGATTTGCCGTTTGTTTGGAATTGGGCAGATATGAATGGAGCCTCATTGTTCTTGTGTAAACACACCAATTTCACTTTCAGGCCACATTCATACTTAGTGTTGTGGGAGCGCTCGTTTACTGCACAATACGCCTAGGGCAGTCTATTGATTTCACTGGGCTGCCCTACATGTGGCATGGTAGCTCATGGGACATTCTGGGGAGTTGTGGTTTGCACATTTTTTACTGCACATTTTGCTGTGTTTGTCCATTTGGTTTTTTTCATGCATCAAAATGTGTGCTTCTGCGTTTGGGGTGGTGTTAACAATTAATGGCACCAAAAGACTGGCAAGTTCATTTTAGGTGTATAAAGGTGGACATTCATTTTACAATCTGATTGTACAAACTTTATACAGTGGGGAAAATAATTATTTGATCCCCTGCAGATTTTGTAAGTTTGCCCACTTAAGGGTCTATCATTTTTATCATAGGTGTATTTTAAGTGATAGACACAGAAGATCAACCAAAAATCCAGAAAAAACACATTATACAAATGTTATAAATTGAGTTGCAGTTCAGTGAGTAAAATTTGATCCCCTACCAACCAACAACAATTCTGACTCCCGCAGACTGACTTTGTGCTCTGCTTGTACACAGATTAGACCTGGCAATTTAAGAAGGTGCTCCTAAAGACAACTTGTTATGTGTATAAAAGACACCTGTCCACATAATCTTTCTTCCATCAAACCTCACCAAAATAGGCAAGACCAAAGAGCTGTCAAAGGACATCAGGGACAAAATTGTAGACCTGCACAAGGCTGGAATGGGCTACAAGACCATTAGCAAGAAGCTTGGTGGAAAGGAGACAACTGTTGGAGCAATTATCTGAAATGGAAGAAATACAAAATAACCATCAAACGCACTCGGTCTAGCGCTCCATGCAAGATTTTGCCTCATGGGGTAAGGATGATCATGAGAAAAGGGAGGGATCAGCCCAGAACTACACAGGAGAAACTTGTGAATGCTGTCAAGGTAGTTGGGACCACAGTTGGCAAACAAACCATTGGTAACACAATATGCTGCCATGGATTGAAATTCTGGAGCTCCCACAAGGTCCCTCTCAAGAAGACAAATGTACAGGCCTGTCTGAAGTTTGCCAGTGTACATCTAAATGATTCAGAGAAGGATTTGGAGAAAGTGCTGTGGTCAGATGAGACCAAAATTGAGCTCTATGGCATTAACTCGACTTGCCATGTTTGGAGGAAGAACAATGCTAACTATGACCATAGGAACACCATCCTTACAGTCTATCATGGAAATGGAAACATTTTGCTTTGGGGTTGTTCCTCTGCTAAAGTTACAGTTCGACTTTGCGCATTGAGTGGCCAATGGACGAGGCCATGTCTTGGATGAGAACCTTCTTCCCTCAGCCAGTACTCTGAAGATGGATCGTGGATGGGTCTTCCAGCATGACAATGACCCAAAACATACCACCAAGGCAACAAAGGAGTGGCTCAAGAAGAAACATTAACCACTTGTCTGGATACTTTTACCCCCTTCCTGTCCAGGCCAATTTTCAGCTTTCAGCGCTGTCACACTTTGAATGACAATTGTGCGGTCATGCCTCACCAACACTGTACCCATATAAATTTTTTAGCATTTTTTTAGACAGATAAAACTTTATTTTGGTGGTATTTATTCACCGCTGGGATTTTAATTTTTTTGCTATATAAATGAAAAATCCAAAAATTTTGAAAAAGTGTTTTTCTTATAAAATTTTGCAAATAAATAATCTTTCTTCATAAATCTTGGCCAAAATGTATTCAGTTATCTTTTGAGTAAAAAAAAAAAATAACCCAAATTAGTTTATAACCAAAGAATATAATTTTTAAAACTTTATTTTACATTTTTATTTAATTTTTTTATATTATTATTTTTTTAACATACTGTCACCCTAGCAGTACAGTGTCACCATAGTGACACTGTACTACTTGTGAGGGGTGATGAAGATTTTTTTTTTCTTTTACACTGATTGCTTTTACACCCATAAAGGCTGTAAAAGCAATCATTTCTCCTTCTCTCTGGCTGCATTCTCGCAGCCATTGAGAAATACTGTGAGAGCTGTGATTGGTCACAGCTTGTCACATGGTACAAGGCTGTTGTGAATAGCCCTGTACCATGTGACCTCTGTGATCATTCACAGATTTCACACGTAGTAAGCTATGATGTCAGAAGTGACATTTTGCTTACTACTCTGCATGTGATCACTAATTGGCCAATCAGTGATCACATGATCAGGTCCTCACACAGAGGTCCCGTACAGTGATCAGTGTTCCTCCGGACACCGCGGGCACCGGATCGCTGTGCCGCACACTCCCAGGGAGCGCACAGTCCAAAATGGTGGGCACCATTTATAAATGGCAACCCGCTCCTGCACTGCCACCGTCCGGCCGTTTATATACATGGGCCGGACAGGAATTGGTTAAGGTCATGGAGTGGCCTAGTCAGTCTCCAGACCTTAATCCTATAGATAATTTATGGAGGGAGCTGAAACGTCGAGTTGCCAAGTGACATCTACGAAACCTTAAGGATTTAGAGAAGATCTGTAAAGAAGAGTGGACCGAAATCCCTCCTGAGATGTGTGCAAACCTGGTAACCAACTATAAGAAATGTCTTACTTCTGTGCTTGCCAACAAGGGTTTCTCCACCAAGTACTAAGTCATGTTTTGCTTAGGGATCAAATATTTATTATACTCACTGAACTGCAACTCAATTTATAACATTTGTATCATGTGTTTTTTTTGGATTATTGGTTGATATTCTGTCTCTATCTCTATCATTTAAAATACACCGATAATAAAAATTTATAGACCCTTAATTTCTAAAATTTATAAAATCTACAGGGGATCAAATAATTATATTCTCCACTGTATAATCTCCATTAGATTTTCCAAAACTATATAGTAGAAGGACACACTTATCTATCCAATACCTTTGTATCCAGTTAGGCAGGCCCTTGCACTACACAGTTTGTGATATCTAAAGAAGATTGTACAATCAGATTGTATAGTGTATGATGAGCTTTACAGACTTCCAGGGACACACTTCTCCAGTTTCATTACTAAAGCTCTGTTGTGTTGTTGTGTGATCACTTAGCGCCTGCACACTCTCCCAAATGAACACTGAATGCAAGAAGAAAGTACAAAACAATTGATGGCTGCATTTAGTGAGAATAGTGCTGACTGTTAATGCGTGCATTGGAAAAGCATGAAACTACAGAGGTGGGTGGGAGCAATCTCCTGGAGAGGAGAGTCAGGGTGTGTGTTAATGAGGTTAGCTGCTGAACTGCTTTCAAATATCCCGTACACACGATAAGAAAATTGTATGCAAAATTTTGCAGAAGCACTGATCGAATGATTTTCTATTCATTGATGAGCAGGATGTTTTAACTCTGGTTGAACAGTGAAAAATGTTGTAATTTTGCACACGAACGACCGATTTTCTATGCAGTGGTATGACAGTCATACAAAAAAAATCTATCAAGTGCTATCACGCATGAGCGGAAACAGAAGACCCAGATGTTGATGTCCAAGGAATCTTCGTAAACATGAACGAAAAATCCAAATGTTAAAAGTAGATTGGCCTAATGAGATAATGAAACCAGAATTAATTATATTTTATGTATCACTATTTATGTATATAGATAATGTAATAAACTACATTATACTCATTGCTATTAATTGTTGTGCATATCGCTCATTCTGGCCGGAAGGGCGTGGCTACAAGGTCACAGGCACACTGCAACACTTCCACTTGTACGGAAGACGTCAACACTACATATTGCCCGACAAATTATTTTTTTAAATTGGTTAATGTGGACCACAATTTCGACCAGTGAACAAACGCCTCTTGGTCGTTGGATGACCGATCGGTTGATTTTCTAATCGTGTATTCCCACCTTTAGTCTTAACATTTTTTCCAACCTAAGAGACAGGTAGCAGGAAGCAAATGGAGTTTTCTATAAAACAAACTGGAGGCTGAGGTAAGGCCTGTCCTTGAACATAGAAAAAGCTTTTTCTTTCTGCAGCAGAGGTATATTAGTGGTATAATGGTACATAGAGAAGCTAGAATTAAAAAAAAAAAAGGTGAACTTAGCCTTTAGCCTCCATGAGCTCTTAGTGTTATACTAGCACTGGAAGTGTAAACAGAGGGAGTAACTGACAAATCTGATTACTCCTCTAGTAGTACCATGATATCCAGTTGCTGAAATGCAAGACATAAGTTATATTTGCACCTACAAGTGTAGTCTTGGACTGAATGGTGCACACTGGGGTAACAATGCTGACTGCCAATTTAACCACTTGCCTACCGGGCACTTATACCCCCTTCTTTACCAAGCCAATTTTCAGCTTTCAGTGCTGTCGCACTTTGATTGACAATTGCGCGGTCATACAAGATTGTACCCTTATGAAATTTTTATCATTTTTTTTATCACAAATAGAGCTTTCTTTTAATCACTGCTGGGCACTTTACGTTTTGCGCTATGAACAAAAAAAAATGTGAAAAAAACATTTTTTTTCTTTGTTTCTATTATAAAATTTTTCAAACAAGTAATTTTTCTCCTTCACTGATGTGCGTTGATGAGGCTGCACTGATGGGCACTGATAGGCGACACTGAAGGGCACTGATAGGCAGCACTAATGAGGTGGCGCGAATAGGCGGCAATGATAGGCAGCACTAATGAGGTGTCACGGATAGGTGGCACTAATAGGCGGTACTGATGATGGGTACTGATAGACAGCACTGATAGGTGGCACTGACTGGCATCACTGCTGGGAACTGACTGACGGCACTGCTAGGCATTGACTGGCGCAACTGATGGGCACTGACTGGCACAACCGCTGGCATCGACTGGTGGCACTGCATTGATGGACACTGGTGGGTGGCACTGGTGGGCACAGGTGGATGGCACTGCTGGGCACAGGTAGGTGGCACTTCTGGGCACAGGTAGGTGGCACTGCTGGGCACAGGTGGGTACTTTGCTGGGTGGCACTGCTGGGCACAGGTGGGCGGCACTGCTGGGCACAGGTGGGCGGACCTGGTGGCTGGCACTGCTGGGCACCGATCATCAGGGCACTGATTGGCCTTTTACCGTAGGACACAGTGCTCACGGAGATTGCCCTCTCAGAACTAGCCGGCCGCAGTGTAGCCGTCATCCGGCTATCTGCGGTTGGCAAGAAGTTAATAGCTCCATGTCAGCCTTATCACCATATTTAAAGTAGGACTATATAGGCAAAACTTTTTTTCCATTTTGGAAAAACCCTCTCAGGTTTTTTTTTTTTTTTTTTTTGCTTTTGCTATTATGTCCCATTTAGGAGATGTACTTTAATTTCTTGTCCCATAGCCATAACAGGAAGTTAGAGGAAATCCCTGCAAATTAGGGGAATTCATTGGAGCCCCCCAGGTCACCAGAACTAGTTTCTCCATTGGAGGATTTCCCTTACATTAGTGTTCTGGGGACAACCCAAAATTTGGAATTTTCTTTTTCTCTCATTTTTTATTATAACGATAAACAGGACAAATAGCACAAACTGCAAAAAAAAAATAAAAATTAGCAGGTGTTCTAATCCATCTCCACTCTCTTCACAACTAAAAAGAAAAAAAGTTTTTCCTTTAGTTACACTCTAAAGCAGAAGTGAACTCTCCAACTTCGATGCTGCTTTTCATCTATTCCATGACATTAAGTTATGATCAATCATTAACCACTGTAATTCAGCCCCAGTCACATATTACACTGTTTTTGTAAACTTTTAAAAATTGTTTCTCCGAGGGTAAGGTGGCGTCATCTTTCACTTGTTTTAAAATTCTGCAATGCATAGTATTTTTTGCCCTTTCATTTAGCCCTTGCTGCAATCTCACGCATTGCAATCATGTCTTATGCAAGCCTTGTTTGCGATCCAACATTCCTATGGCAATTGCGCTCTGTTGCTCACAGTCGACCTGTTTTACTCCACAGGTATATTATAGTGAAGTAAAGCACTGCTTCACCATATAAATACCTTGTGGAGTAAGCAGGTATAGCATATTATAGTATAGCTATAGTATGCAGTCCGATCCCCAGGATTACACCCCATGGGGTGTAGCAGGAAGTTCTGAAACAATTTGCAGTCTCGCGGGTTTTGGGAGTAGTGCCGCAGGGAGCAGAAATCAGAGACACGGCATCCTGTCTGGAGAGACGGCACACAGAGTATGCCGTGAATCGGGAGATAATGCGCATGTGCCTGTGACGACATTAGACATAACAGGACAGATTACAACAAAAGAGAGCACGTAAGGAGACATCTACAAGCAGGAATTATTAGATATATTAGGCTGTAGATCCACTTTAATATCTAAGCTCTCTGTTCAAAACCATCTATAATACTATTTATTATGCATGGAGGAGCTCAGCTATGAGGAAAGATTAGGGGAACTGAATGTATTCTCTCTTGAGAAGAGGAGATTAAGGGGGGATATGATCAACATGTATAAATACATCAGTGGTTCATATAGTGAACTCGGTGTAGAGTTATTCACCCTGAGGTCATCACAGCGGACAAGGGGGCACTCTTTACATCTGGAGGAAAAGAAATTTAATCTCCAAACACGGAAAGGTTTCTTCACAGTGAGAACTGTGAAAATATGGAATAGTCTTCCTCAAGAGTTGGTTCTGGCCAGCTCAGTAGATTGCTTCAAAAAAGGCCTGGATTCTTTCTTGGATACACTGAATATAACTGCATACTAACATTTCTAGGTAAAGTTGATCCAGGGAATATCCGATTGCCTCTCAGGGGATCAGGAAGGAATTTTTTTCCCCTGCAGGAGCAAATTGGATCATGCTTTGCTGGGGTTTTTTTCCCTTCCTCTGGAACAACTGTGGGTATAGTATTATAACTTTTTTTTTTTCTATGGTTGAACTGGATGGACTTTTGTCTTTTTTTCAGCCAGACTATGTAACTATGTTGGAGAGAGTTTATTACCACTTGAACCCCTTCACGCCTAAGGGTAAAACAAATCTTAATGCCTAAGCACAATTTTGCAACGTTGACATGTGTTAGTAAAACTGTACATATCATTACAACTACTTTGTACATCCAGGTGAATTATACCTTGTTTTTTTCAGGACAAATTGGGATTTCATTTGGTGGTAAATGGTAATGGATATCTCCTGATTTTTTTTTTTTATTATCAAAGGAAAACTGGCCCAAAATAGTAAACAAAAATCTTTTTTTTTTAATTTAGCTGTGTGTTTCTTGTTACTACCATAACCTACCACCACCAAAGAACAACCCAAAATAAATTTTCCAGCCCTTGACGATCGCAGCGATACCATATATGTGTATGTTATTTGTTGTTTGTACCCACAGTACAGCCCAGA